ACTTAGGAGCCAAGGGCGTTAGGATAGCTGAGGTTCATCAAGTCCCACGTGCCAGGCATTTGCGTAAGCAGTTTACATGCTGTATTTCAGTCTTCCTGGCACCTCTGTGAGGTGCTGTTGTCGTCTTCTGGGTGCAGAAATGGGTGCCAATCATATTTTCAAAGTAAACTAGGTATCTAGTCTGGGATAATTAACATAGGTATGGTCCATCGTGGACTGACTGACAGGATGGCCAGTGATGCCGTTTAAGTAGCACCTGGGCCAGGTATGTGGCATTCCCTCCCCACCGCACCCCCGCACCCCCGGTCACGTGCAGCCTCTTCCCTGGCGTTGATGCTCTAGGTCAGACGTGAGAATTGTCTTCAGAGTCTTGATCGTTTATTCCTTTTTCCTCAAATGCATCAGTGTTTTTCCTTTTCCTGCTCAACAGCACCTCGCCCCGTGTAGGCCGAGGAAGGAGGGCAGGTTCTGGGGCTCACGACTGAGCCAACCTCCTAGCAAAAGGGTGGGCATTCCAGTTCTGAAACAGGTTCTCCTATGCAGAGATCGCCGTCCTCATCCTCACCACCAGGCACCAGGCATTGATCACTATGTCCTCCTTTTTGCAGACTGTTTCCATCTTGGAGCAGCGACTGACTCTGACAGAGGATAAGCTGAATGACTGCCTTGAAAATCAGCAAAAGCTTTTCAATGCCATCCAGAAAAGTTGAGAAGAAAAGTACGAGCAGGGGCATGAGAAATGAACACACGTGCGCACACGCAGGAAGGTAGTGCGAGATGCTTCATGCAACACAACCATGTGCTAAACGTCATGGCAATATCTAGCCATGATATTTGATTTCAGATACTTTGATTTCAGTATCAAAGGACGAAAGGCAGAAAAGGCATAATAAAGGCCTAAACACACAAGTCAATGTCGAGGACTAATTCAAACCATTACTATTTATGATTGCAGTAATAAAGTGACAAATATTCAAATGGCTCTATATTTTCCCCCATATTATTTTCAATGTCAGTTTCCTGGTACAAAGGTAACCAAATCTCTGGATTTTGTTGTTATTTCAAATTGACCATGTTCAGGCAATTCCTTAAAACAACTAGTGTATTTCTTTAATAAACAATACCCTTGGGGTTCTGAAATAATTCACTTGCCTCTAAAACAGCATTTTATATGCAGAGAATGAGTTCATGATCTGACTTGCATTTCTTTCAGTTTAAAAAAAATTACTCTTTCTTACCTGTGCCTTAAAAAGACGATCTCATGAAACTCCCAAACCACAAAATTTCCACAGCAAGAATACACTTACCTTAATTAGCAGCAGCATATGGGACATAGGCAGTGGGTTTTGATATAATTTACTGTATACATCATTTATCTTTTGACCAACCTGAAAGGAAACCAAGAGTTAGAAATATGTGAAGTGCACCCATCTTCTTCTTTTGTAGATGAATGCACTGAATGGTCTGGGTTGAATCCAAACCTGTGATCCCAGTTTACAAAGACCAAGCATGATTTCAGAATCCTCAAAGCCCAGAACAATGCAACAGCAGTATTTAACGACATACATACGTGTATGTTCACGTGCTTCAGAAGTGGATAGGGCGGTTTTGGTAGCTGAATAGAAGTACTTTAAAAAAAATTTCCATCGTTATCTTCCTTTTTTTTTTAATTGTGATTTGAAACAAAATGAAAATGAGCTGAACATTCTAAAAGATCTTGGTTACAAATTAAGAATTTTGTTATAAAGAGATTAAATTGAAGAAAAATGAATTTAGTTTGCATTTCTGTTAACCTGTATCAAGAACAGAGAAGGTGGGAGAAAGCTGTCCACATTAATGATGCCTGAAGGCATATCATGGGGAATTTACTGTCTATGTTTTGGAAAAGAAACCGTGAAGTCTTGTTTATATACGAGTATATATTTAGAAATCTTTCTCAAAGCAGTTTTCAGTTGTATTTATGAGGTGGTTTTGTTTATCATCTCGTGTTTTTCAAGTGCCTTTTATATGATACTAAGTGTGAACTTCTAGACAGTTTCAAGAGTTTATAAAGACCAAGTGGCATTGTATTTTATAACCTCATTGAGAAGACTATGAAATGTCATACTGATTTGTTTACTCTTTTTATATGCTTCAAACAATAAAGGCATTTTACCTTTAAAGAAAGTTGTTTCTTTTTAAACGATTAAAATTTGGAAATACTAAGCTTACCATCTGGGTCACTCAACTTTAAAACATTCATAACAATCTCCTGGAGAACTTGTCAAAACAGTTTCCTGGGCCCTATCCCTGGGGCTTGTGACTCACCAGGTCTGGTGGCGCCCAGGAATTTGCACCATTACCAAGCTCACAGGAGGTCTGATGCCCCTGGCCTCGGGCCCACACTTCAGAAACCCCTGACTAGCTCTAGCCACTTCCTGCAACACAGTGTGACCACACGCTTTCCCAGTCACAGACCTTCGTAAGTGATAGAAAAACAGCAACGACATAAGTTTAAATGCTTAGACAGTTTTTCAAAAGGGTTATTTTAGAATCCCCCCAACACACACCTTGTTTTTAAGCTTTGGAGGATTCGTCATCAGAGTCCAGCCTCTCATCTGTCCTAGCTTGTGTGTTTACAGCTCCACCCGGAAGATGTGGAAGGCAGTTTCTGAACATGTCCCAAACCAAACTCTGCTGTGCCCCGCCCCCCAACCACCACCCACCAGTCACCCTACCCAGGCCGTCCCACCTCCATGAGTGGCAACTCTCCTTCGAGGCATTCAGACCTGAAGCCCTCAGTCATCCTTGATTCCTGTCTCACACTCCACGGTCCATCGCTTCAGCAAATCTTATGAGAATGTCTGGCTTACCTGGTTATTCCTCACACCTCCACCAGCCACCGGGGCCCAAGCCACCATCGTCCCTTACCTGGATGACTGCAGTGACACCCTTGCACAGCAGGTCAGAGTGGTTCTTGAAAAGCCTGAACTAGAACATGTGGCTCTTCAGCTCAGAAGCTTTCAGGGCTCCCCATCTTACTTGGGCTAAAAGCCCCAGACTGGACAGTAGTGATGTGCTCCTCTCCCTCCCGGGTCACCCTTACTCACCGCCCTCTGGCCACAGTGGCCTCTTTGCTTCCCTGAAGAAGCAAAACAGCTCCCACCTGAGGGCATCCGTACTTGCCATTTCCTCTGCCTGGAACTCTGTCCCCAGGGATCCCTCATAACATTCCAGCCCTGCTCACATGTTGCCTTTCCCAAGGTGCTCTTCCTAACCACCCTTACGAAATGGTGCCCTCCATCCACTCCCTGCGTATCTTTGGTACGACACAGACTGCAACACAGTTCCATTCGACCTCTTCCACTGTGAGCTGACCTTCTCAAAAAGCCAGCTCTGTCATTAGACTCCCCACCTAGCACAGTGCCTCATTCATAGGAGGAGCTCAGCAGATAGGTGTGAACTGAAAAAAAAATGCACAACCTAAAATCTGAGAATAATGTTTCATTCAGCAGACTTACTGAGGACTTAAGCCCACAAACTTTCAGCTCTGAGGGACTGTTTCTGAAGAGGTAAGACAGGAGCCAGGATACATAGGAGTTTTTGAAAGAAAAACAAAAACAGGTTGTCAGAACATCAAAAGATTACTGTTAAAGAAAACCAGACATCGAGTTAATGAATCTAGCACTCTTCTATGTATGGGAAGATGCAAGAGTCTGAGCTTATTAAAATCATTCCTTTGATGTGCACCTCATCTAGGGCCAGTATCCTCTTTTTTTCCATCCTGAATCTCCTCGGGGTACTGTCGGGGGCCTCTGCAGTGGCTTTTGGCTTGATGGCCACAACATCCTTTGTTTACTGAAATAGCAGGCAGCATTCTTGATCTATGCCACTTCCTCCTGGTCATAAATTCAACCAACATTTGGAGGCATTTCATGACCAACTGTGTCCCACAGCACTAGGAAGGCTCATTCCTAGATCAGGTGAAGATTCTGTTGACAGGCCACTCACTGTGCCGATTCTTTTTGATTAGGCCCTACTGATAATCTAAAATTCTCCAGATCGACTGTCTTACCAGTCAGTTACGATCCAGGAAATGTTTTCCTTTGTTGCTTCTTCCCATATTTAGGGTTGCACGATTACTATTATTTTGTGTAGTTATATATATGATCAGTTGCCTCAAGACTTTTAGCCAGCATTAATTTTGTCAGAGGCCTGGTTACACACTGGGTAATGCGACAGACAATCTTACAAAATAGACAGGATTTAAGTAACAGAGCTAGTAGCGTTAAGTCATAGTACAGAGGAGAGACACAAGGCATAAATAATTTGAAAACAACAACAAATTGAAACAATGACCAGTATAACGGGTTATAATCTGATCACAATAAACCATCAAGTCCACAGGAGAGCCAGCCAGAGAAGCCAGATTCTGGAAGGATCAGGGAGAGAGGAAAAGATAAATGTTTCATCTTCATTTATAAAGGCATACTTCATCAATTTGTTGTAGGTCATAATTAAGAGAAAAGGTTTTCTGGAAAACAAAGATTAACAGCCAACATATTTCAGGAAAAAAAAAGTCATAAAATTATCACATTTATCACTTCATTCAGACCCATGGAATTAATTCCTATTGATCTGGATGAAGTCATCAGATTTTTTTCATTAGAGTTTTGTCATTTCTAACCTAGGTCAGTGGTGTGATACGAGCTATCAAACTTAAAATGTCAAAAAGTCCTTTTTATGAATCTTCATGAAGATCTTCATTTCATAAAAGCATCAGAGTAAAACCATGATCGTTTGTAAATACCAAAAGACTTCAAGTGGCACAGAGATCTGATGACAATGCCACTGACAAGAAACTTCGATATTTCTGTGTCATACAACATTTTAAGATAATAACCAGAATTATGACTGATAACATACTAGGACATATCAGAGTTTTAGGAATTCCATATAAATTTTGGAATATCTATATTAATGACATTTACCCGTACCATATAATCGAACATTTATCTTCAATCGCTTGACAACACTTCAAGTACTTGAACAAGTGAAATAAACCTCACTAGTTTAATATTCCTCTGAGATGCCTCAGGGTTCCTTTGAAGCATCCCAGAGTTAGCTGAAGGTCAAAAGAACTTCAGTTAGAATTTGATATTTGGAAGTTTGTCGAAAATATCAAAAAGGTTTCAAAACACTTAGTCAGATAGGATCATAGGTCATTGTGAAACAATACTTATTCACTTAAAGTGACAAAAGACTTCAAAAGCAAATACAGATCACTTAAATGTAAAGAAAGAATCAAAAGCAGTATTCCAAGAAAACTTTGTTCTCTTAACAGAGAAGGAACTGAATCCCGTCCTGCACCAGTTTATTTTTAATAACAAAATCAATTTACCTGATTAAATTTCATCTAATCCAAGCCTGACCGTGCACAAAACTCCTTTATCGGGGGCTCCCTTTCCATAAACCTTTCTGTATCCATATTAGTTTGCCCCTTATTTTTCAACTCAGAAACAACCAACTAGGACCAAAAAAAAAAAAAAAAATCACTCTTTCTGCTTAAAAAATATCTATTTCCATTCCTCATACCTTCTTTTGCTGAAAACACACATCCTATTTTCCTTGCATATTGAAATGTCTCCTCTGTTATTTTGAGTAGCTTTAATTACATATTATAATCTTAACTCTTAAAAACCTTAATCATCTCTAGTGAAAACCAACAAGCAACAAGTGATTATAAACTGTTTGTTCCAGCATTTCCTGATTGGAATAACCCTTGAGAAACTTACAACATGTCGTAGCATACTTTCCTTCCTCATTTTGGTATGTGTCTAATAAACCCAAACATCTTTAGTTTCCCTCTTGTAAGGCAACAAAGGTAGATGAATTCAGACCTGTTTAGCAATTAGTGTTCCAGTATTTTATCTTATTTGAAATGAAATGGACATACAGTGAAGTCCCTTCATTTAACTCAGCAAAACTCAAGTTACCAAAAGTCTGGAGAAACTATTTTAGATAACATACCTAAAAGTAATCATTCCTAACGCGTTCACCTGAAAACCCATCATTTACTTTTATAAAACATGAAAATATACCCACTTCCTTTCTTGTTGACAAACTGCAACAGGAATAACATGAACTTACTGACCTTCAGTAAACCACAAGCTTAAGCTAGCTTTAATGCCAGATATTAACTTAATGTTGAATATTTCTTAGAGCACATGAACTTGAAATTCATCCTGGCCAGTTTCTTTTATATTTAAAAATATTTAATTTGTAAGTGTTTACTTCTAAGTCAATTAAAAGAGATCTTTTATAAATGTAATTTTGACTATTTTCTGGAGGTAGAGTCATATGTATAATATACACATAGACATATAAATAGACACAACTAGAGATCCCATAACTTCACTTTAACACTTAGATACGAATCAGATATACAATATAAACTTGTCAGCTTATAAATAACTGTTGGAATAAATTAAATTTATTTGCTCAAATGACTAAGGCTTTAACTCTTTGTGGAAAAGACAACAATTTCATCTGGCCTTTATGGAAAACTTTAAGGAAGCTAGGAATTAGATTTTAGGTGAGGGAGTTTCTCCACCTGAGTTTTGAGTTTAAAAGGGCCACCTCTCCCCCCTTTCCCC